ACTTGGTAGTCCAGGCTGGCCTCGAACTCACAGAGATCCGCCTGGCTCTGCCTCCCGAGTGCTGGGATTAAAGGCGTGCACCACCACCGCCCAGCTTAGCAGCTTTTTTAGCTCATGCAGACAAAATAGGCTGAAATATATTCACTAAAAGAGGTCCAGATGGAAAAACCTCTAAACAGGTTCCAGTGTGTTTTACAATGTGCGAAGGCTTAAGAAAGAAAGAAAAAGGGTATGGACAGTCATAGAAAGGAATTGTTTAAAAAAATGAAGTCTTTAAAGAGAGAAGTAAAATAATAAAAAAGAATAAGCCACATAGAGATGGGAAATACACAAGAGTCTGGATCCTTATTGTTATTGTATTTATTTTGAAATTTTTGATTGCTGTAAAGCAAGGACAGTTGCTAAGAGACCTGGACTTGAAAGAGGGACTGCTAAAGTAAACCAGTATTTGTCGAATGGAAGTAAAAAATACTTTGGAGGAGACGTTTTGCTTTGTTTCCACAGGAAACAAGAGGCTGTGGATTTGTTCCAGGCTAATATGGATCAGGTTTGATCAGGGGAGACTTCCTGAACCTTGACAGGTGATATCTATCAACAAAGGTTATAGTTGGTCTTCCCAGGACTTGGCCATTTTATCAAAATTTTCTCTCTGGGACCCTAAAGGTGCTTCGTCCACAGACAGCGGGAAGCAATTTGGAGAAAACAACATCCACATTCCCATGAGCTGGGTGTGTGTGGATGGTCTTTGGTTATTTGGTGGGTTATGGATGTTTGTTATAATTTAGGGAAATATAGGAATATAGGATAAAAGGACAACTATTAATCTCAGATATTTTGCATTGGCATGGATTTTGATATATTGATACATATTTAAAGTTTATTTTGTTACACTCTATATATGTTTCTACTCTTGTTTGGGGTATTTTGCTAATGCAGCTCATTTAAAAATGCAATGTACAATTAAGAAATTAGTAGTTAATTTAATAATCAAACTTGTAGTCACATTAGGTATGTTTTTAGGTTAAATACATATATTTTAGATAGATAACTGGTCTTTAAACACTTCAAAGACCTATAAAAGATGGCATGTAAATGTTTTGTTAACCTAAAGTTTTCATGACAATGAGACACATCTGCTCCTGGCAGCACCACTTTACTTCAGAGATGATAGGCATTGAAGAAACTCCTTATGGAGTTTGCTTTCATTGTGGCAAGGTTAGGCACCAGGCAAAGAAACTGCTCTTGCCTTTGACTGCTGACAATGTGCTGTGCAGAATGACATGCAGGACACACAGGAAAAAGACTGTTGAACTTTGCCCAAACAAGGCAGAAGAGTCCTTCAAAATTCCTGATTCACAGAAGAGTCTGCCAGATATTCTGCAGGACACACAGGAAAGCAACTGACGAACTTTGCCAATACAAGGCAGGATAGTCCTTCAAATTTACTGCTTCACTGAAAAGTTTGCCAGATATTCTGGGTGTGTAGGCTGAAGATGGATGCCCCAGGGTTGCAGAAGGAACTCTGGGTGACTGTCCAGGCAGTCAGATGACTCTGTCATTGCCAGAGTTTTGGAAGTTGTTTGCAATGCACTTTTTGTTTACTCAAATAATATTATCCTTCTGGGGCTCTCCACTGCCGGCTCTGCTGCATCTGCCATCTGGACTTCTCCACGCTAGCAGTTGGCTGCCGCTTGCCCAGAGAAGTCAACAGAATTGGTGAGAGATTTGGCAAATCCTTTAGGAGACTAGGAGAGAATTAAATATTGAAAAGAAATTTTTTTCTACATTAAGAATGGGAAACATAACAATGCAGGGTGCTAAGACCCTGTATATTGCTACCTTAGAAGGCTTGAAGTTAGAATCAGAATATGGGAAGGTTAATGATTTAACTAACACTGATATGATACTGATAATACATACTATCAGTATGGTAATTAATATATCAATAATAGCCTTGGTGGTTTTTTGTGCTAAATATGACAAGTGGATTAATAGGATGCAGTCCTCGGAAAGATATACTAAAGAAAAAAAGAAAAATGCTCAGACACAGACAGAGGAATTTAGAGCAGAATTTGACACGCCATTGAATTGTGAAACTGGAGAGGAATGGCCTAAGGTTATTAGAATACCAACTTTAATATATCCAGTTATTGTTCAACAACAACCACCAGATAATATGTATCCCCAAGGCTATGCAGAAGTTAATTGGAATTGTGTAGATAAAAAAATTTAAGGAAGCAGTAGTGTCACATGGTATGCATTCACCCTTTATAAGACAGATGTTAAATTCATGGGCAACTAGGAATAGAATTATTCCATAAGACTGAGAGGATTTAGTTTCAGAAGTATTAGAAGCTGGTCTTCAATTACAATAGAACACTTGGTGGAGAGAGGAAGCCAGGGCCCTGGAACAATGAGTTGGGGCCAGAGGTCATGAGTTATGATAGAAAGTAAATTATGTATAAATCTTTGGAGTCACTAAGATGGATGGATGGTGGAAAGCTTTCTCTGATTTTGCTAAATGTAAATGGGCTGAATATTGTAAATTAATTCTTATGTGATAAGTGTTTTGTTGTACATAGTTATACTATGTTAAAGTTAAAGCCTTTCTTTTTATTTAGACAAAAAGGAGGAAATGTTGTAGAATATTATTTTAAGGTGTGTTACTTTTATGTTGTACTCTGTTAGTGAGGCTTTGCCTGTCTAAACCACCTGCTGATCTAATAAAGAACTGAATGGCCAATAGCAAGGCAGGAGAAAGGAGAGGTGTGGCTGGCAGACAGAGAGAATATATAGAAGGAGAAATCTGGAAGGAGAAAAGAAGGAGCCAGAGAAGGAGGATGACTCCAGGGGCCAGCCACCCAGCTACACAGCAAGTCACAGAGTAAGAAACAAAGAAAGGTATACAGGAATAGAAAAGGAAAAAGGCCAGAGGCAAAAGGTAAATGAGATAAGTTAAGAAAAGCTGGCTAGAAACAAGCCAAGCTAAGGCCAGACATTTATAATTATGAATAAGCCTCTGTGTGTGATAGGTGGTGAGCCCCTAAAAGATAAAAACAAAACAAACAAACAAACAAAACCCCCCAAAAAACCAACAACAAGCACTCCACAAATACCACCTGTTGTGGTCCTCAGGAACTTACCTGCTCGTTTACCTGGTATATCTGCCAGCCTCTGTGCACAGTGGGGTGGGGCCCAACCCGCATCGCAGTGGCACTGCCTCTTGTGGTTGCATACCTGGAGGGAAAGCTGGGTCTCAAGGACAGGTACCCCACAGGGCAGCAGGGCAGGTTGCAGCACATATAGGGTTCCCCTCCATCCATCCACATATGTCAGTCTCAGGCATATAAGGAGTCTCCTAGTGACCACACTGTCCATTGGTCACAAGCTCAGTGGAGGGCACCTGTCCTACCTCAGCCCCAGAGAGGCCTTGTTGATGCCTCCATCAGAAGGATATAGGCTAGTCTGAGCCCACATTGTTATGGCTACAGCTATCTCTGCCACAGTTCCATCAGACAAGTGGTGGCAGCCACCTAGCTTGAGGGCACCAGAAAGTGGGTATACCATGCCCTAAGGTCCAAGGCCACACATACCCCATGGTTGTTGCACTTAGCAGAGCAGTTCTTAGGTCCATATACACGGAGGTCCTGGCAGTGTCCATTCATGCAAACCTGGAAGGTGGAAGGGGCTCTTGGGTAGCTGACCTAGACCCAATCTGCACCCCATTATCCTCAAACCCAAAGGTAAGTCCAGGAGAGCTAGTGTGTTCATACTCCAGGATGACCATATCCTCACACTTTGTGTGTGTGTGTGTGTGTGTGTGTGCCGGGGGCTCAGGCATGAGGGTGGTACTGGACTGGCTGAACCTGGGGACACTTTGGGTATGGTGGTCTCTAGACAGGTGTCTCTACTTGCCTGGCTCTCTTCTCAGTTTTGACTAGGGCATAATAGAGGCTCCATGCCCATGCCTCCACCAGCCAACATTATATAGGACATTATCAGAGACTCATATGGGCATTTTTGATCTTCAATAGCCCTGGATAGCTTTCTAGTGCCTATCAGCTCACCTTCCCTTCCTCGCACTTGATACCATGGCGTACTAGCTCATAGGTGCCAGTGTTGCTGTCTGTGGAGAGGGCTTTGCAAACTCCATATCCGGAGGAGAAAGTGCAGGAGGAGCGTTCAAGGGGCTTCTGGCCTCCCTCACAGAACAGCACTCCACATCGGTTCATCCTGTAGAGAGAGGGCAGGCTGTGGTTACAGGTATCCTGGTTGTGTGCTCAGGGGCCTGGGTGCTGCAGGAGATGGTCCCAGGACCTCTCCTTCTTCAAAGATGATAGGTTCAGGTTGATAACCTGAAGGAGGGCAGACTCCAGGAGAGTCACCTGCCTCGCAGAGCAGGCCTCCTCTGTGGGGAATTCTCTGTGGACCAGCCTTGCCATTGAAGACATATCACATCCAGCTCCCAACAGTTTGGCCTTGATACTTACTTGCCAGGGTACAAACTGCCACTGCAGCCCCGAGGGATGCTAAAGGTAAAACAGGAGTCTGATGCAGCCCGGGCACCTGTAGGGCAAGGAGAAGTTAGCTTGGTTTAGGTCATAGACACTCCACAAGCTGGCCCCCATCTTATGCTCATGCCTGCCTCACCTGGCCCCCACAGATCCTGGCACTGCTGTGTCAGTGTGGGGCAGTTCCCATTAAAGCAGTAGCCCCCTGGGCAGGGTGTGCCATTCTGTTGGAAAGCATCTTCAGGGCATGTTGGCCTCTGGCCATCACAGAACTCCTCCAGGTCACATCTGTCCTTCATAGGACGACACAGCTCACCAGCTGGCTTCACCTGGTCCCAGAGAGAAGCTTACTGTGGGATAGGCTCACATGATGCATTCACAGGTATCCCATTGCCCTTTGTTTGACTGGGGCAGATCCTGGGTGGAGTTCAACTTACCTTGCACTTATGACAGCAGGCACCGGAGGCACACTCTGCCCCCTTGACCAGCTGGCAAGTGGTAGCATTGCAGCAGGGGTTCTTACAGTCCTAGGAGGACAACAGTTTGAGCAGCTACATCCTAGCCAGACCTGGCTCCAGGGGAGATTAGCATTTGGTGATCACTGGGCAAGGGGCTGCAGCCAATGTATCTCCAACTCCTTTATAGGTTATTAGTGGCTCAAAGGGAAATGAGGTAACTGGTGATCCCAAGGTCCACATGTGGTGTGGGCACATAACATCAGGCCTGAGGCTAACCTAAGCAAAAGGACCTGGGGTTGAGGTCCCTACACTAATGCTGAAGCTGAATAGCAAGGGGCAGGAATGGGATAAGACAAACCTGAGGTGTACCACAGTCACACTGCTCTCCACGCTCTAAAAATCCGTTTCCACACACGGGGCCACCCACGAACCGGTTGACATCTGGGGCATTGGTCAGGCAGCTTGTCTGGGGCTTCATAACGAATGACTCCAGGTCAACCTGGCTACACCTGCTGAATTTCTTGGGGAACTCGGAGCTAAGGGCAAGGGATGTCACCATTAGGAAGTTCCACATGCCAGTCTGTCCCTTCCCACCCAACATGTCCCACGAGACCTTACCCAAAGCTTTCAGTCATGATGCAGCCACCAGCCTCCCGTGGTATAGGACAATAGCAGCCATGGATGTTTTCATCATGGGTCATGCCCAAGTTGTGGCCCATCTCATGGGCCATGGTGGATGCTACACCAATGGGGTTCCTGAGGTGGTCCTATGAGGACATGTTCATTAGTACTCTCTTGCTACCGTCTACCCACATGCCCTCTGCCACCCTAGGTGCCAATAGGCATGATGCTGCTTCTTGCTAATATCCCAACAAAAAAACAGGTTCCAAATCCATCCCCGGAGTAGGCGACTGCTTGATGGTGTCGTAGGGACCCGGACTGACACTTCTACCCACAACTCAGACTCTGTATTGACTCATCAGCCACCAGACAGCTTGGAAAACTGGGGTGAGAGAGAATTCCTTTTACCTGGTTCACAGCTCCCGAGTGCCGGGAACACATGGCCGACACCTTAGCCAGTCCAACAGTGGTCCCAGTGAAATCAACCCCCCTAGAAGAAGACATGGCATGTAAGGCTTTGGACATGGTTCCTGGCCCCTCCTCATCCCTGCACAGCTCTGCTCAAGTGTCCTGCCCTCAAGGCCAGGCTGTACAGAGCTTGGCTCTAGAGTCTTGGCTTTGTCTCATGTGGTGGATGGGTGTGTGCCCCCACTCACGTGATAAGTTGCACGTTGTCATGTGGGTGCTGCCCTAGCAAGTTCTGTTCCCTCCAGTTCAATAAGTTCTCCAATGTATCATCGACATTGGGGCTGATGGAGAACTTGTCCCATCTCCAGATCTCCAGGCCCACCAGGACCACACGGAAATTGAGTTCCTGATAAAGCTGCAGAGGATGAGAAGTGCCCCCAAGGGTCAGGCCAGGGGTGGGGATGGACAGGGGCATTACGTCCATTTCATCACTGGGAGGTACTGAGTCTAGGTGCTGGCCAGGTACTGAGCTCAGTACAGAGCCCTGAACTAGTTCCCCTCTTGACTGGCTATCTTGCCCTTTCCACCCTAAACAGCTGTACTTCTCTTCAAGTGTCAGCGCCCTTGGGGCAACCCACCTTGTCCACGTGGTTTACCACCTCCAGCACTCGCTGGCGCACGGCCTCTCTGCTCCCCAACTTCTGGAACTAAAAACAGAGGATCTTTAGGCTGGGGCCTGGCAACCTCATCCCAGCTCATCCAGCCCCCTCAGCCCCTGCATCCCATACCTCTCGGCTGTCTGTGACCACATACAGCTCCACATAGCGGGTTTCTCTGGGGATCAGCCAGTTCTAGGGAAAGAATCTAATCAGCATTTTTGGCCCTGTTCCCAACTTACCCCAGAGCCCAACTCCACATTGGGAGGCAAAGTCTAGACATCTCCAGGCAGTGGGCTTTCTCTCCAGCTGCAGGGCTGAGCCAGGCCTGACCACTAGGCATGAGGTCTGCTTCAGAGCTACTGACAGCCATGCCTAGGTCCAAGCACGGGGTCTGTGGCTGGCTGGCCAGCAGGGGATACTGCTGCTCACCCGGGGCTGAGACCTGTAGATTTCTAAGGCCCGAGGTCCTTGGTCATCCAGGCTGGTGTTGACCCCACAGGTTCCAGCTTTCTCATGCAGTTGCTTTGCCTCGTACATTGCATGTTGTCCCTCTTCATCACCATCCAGAGGCTCAATCAAGTGGACAGTGGTCCCAACTTGGAAAAAGCCCCTGAGGGAAGAGCCAGGTGAACAAAGGGTATAGTCAGCTTGTTCCTACCTGCATATCCAAGAAGACAGGTAGTTCATGCCTACTGCCTCAGAACAACCCTTGTGAGAGATGCTTGTGGACACAGGAGGCAAGAAGGCACATGGGTTTGGCATGGCTGGCAATTCCTAATGGAGTCTAAGAGCCCCAACCCTTCCAAACACAGAACAGGAAAGACATTCTTTTTTCAAAATTTCATGCCAAGGCCCCTTTTTCACTGCCTCAGTTTACCCTTCTGTAGAACGGAACTTCCTGCCTGGGTCTGCAATACATACCTGAGGCCAGCACAGGTGCTAAAGCTGGCAGCTGAGCCCTGGTACCCTTCCACATGGCCCTGGTAGAGGCAGTGGTCCTGAAGAAGAAGTGGGAGAAGGTCATAGGTCTTGCTGCCATGGCCTCACTGGCCCAGGGAATGCTGCCCTGGCACCATACCTGTTCATGCAGCTGCTCCTTCACCTCAGAACCATTGGCAGCTGAGTAGGTCTCTATGTAGCTTGAGCCCAGCAGGTCCCTGGAAGAGAAGCAATGAAGTTCCCTAGTTCCACCTCACCCCAAGCGGCCCTCATAGGGAGTCTGGGCCAAGATTCTGGCACACGGCAGCCTTTACTTCCCACTGGATTCGGGGACTGACCCAAGGGCCAGAATCTGCTTACCTGTTCTTCTGAAGGTGCAAGGTGAAAATGTGCCCTCTGGTCCCAAGAGCATAGCTCAGATTCTCTGGGTACAGGCCCTGGATGGGGAGTCAGGGTTATTGGCCTTCAGATTATTAAGACCAAGGTTTTTCATAGCAGAGAGCCCCCAGAAGGGCCTCCCTAGGAGACCTTGGGGATTCATTAGTTTCAGGCAGGGAAGTAGGTGGCTGGGGCCAGGTTGAGTTGTTTGGGAAGGACAGGGAAAGCAGGTCTCCCAGATGAAGCAGAAAAACATAGAGCTCCTTGGCCCCTTTTTGTTCACAAGGAGGAGGAGGAAGAGGAGGAAGAGGAGGACATTCCTTCCCAGAGAAAGTAGGGTAGGAAGTGGTAGACATCCTTAGCCAGATTGCCACTGAATCCAGGGCAACATGGGCATGGGAAAGGTAAAGATGTCCCCAGTACCACTACTGTGTACTGTGTACAGCACAGCTGGCTATGGTGTCTAGCCTGAGGTTCAGGGCAGGTGTGTGTTATACACTCTATGACCCTTCACTCATACACTGAGCCCTAGGGATAGCAAACACCAGGAAAAAGGAAAGCCCAGGCAGAGATATTTCCTGGAGATCCAAACAAGGATAGAGCCAGGAATCTTCCTGGAGGTCTTTAGGCTATTCTCAGTTCCCAGCCCCAGGAAATCCCAGGTCAGGAGGTTCTCGAGGCATTTACATAGCTTTAGGGTGAGCAGCTGCTGGCTAATCTGACAAACCACTGCCAACTGAAACTGGGGAGTGGCCTGGGGCAGCACAAGCTGCTGTTCCTTTCCTGGGTGAGAGGCCTCTCCAGGCTGAGCCAATGCCTCCAAAGGAGCAAGGGAGCGGGTCCTAGTGCCTACCTGGAGGCCCTAGACTCTGGTTCAGGGTGGTGGCAGGAGGAACGAGGTAGTGAGCACAGGAGGAAGGGACCATAGTCATGCCTAGACGCACAGACAGATTTAGGTCCTGGAGGTGTACAGGGCAGCCCCTAGAGACTGCTGCTCCCTTTACAGAAATAGGTTGTGTGGCCAAGCTAAGGGACTTACCTCATGGGAGGGCAGGTCTCTACGGGAGCGGGATGGTGCCAGGCGCCGAGGCCATACCACCTCATACTGTTTCACATCGGGCAAAGGAGGTTCAAGAGCTATAACTATAGGAGAAAGGGGGTCAGAAGACACAGCAGGGGCTATCCTACCTCAAGAAGTTCTGGTCAATGTTATCCCTCTAATCTGGGGAATCACTACACAGCTAGGTACCAGCAATGGGATCTGGCCCTGTGATCCAGATAAGAACTTGGTGCCTAAAATATCACCAGATCCATCACACTGGAGTCAGTCTGTCTGAACCTAGCACACCCTTGCACCCTTCCCCAGTGCCTTTCTAGACTTACCCAGAGAGAACACATATATAGGCCCTTTGGTCGGCCTGCCAGACGTCTAGAGTTGACCTGATCGCATCTTTAGTTACATGATCATATCTGATTGATGATGAAAGCATCCCCTCCTTCAGGTTTTTCTCTTCCCAACAGAAAGCATCAGTGTCCATCAACAGATGAGGGACCCTCTGTAGGCAGGTCCAGTTTTAGAGACCACCTATCCCAAAGAAGTGTCCTCTTTTGCATAGACAAAGGGTGCAGCTTCTTAACCCCAAACTTTCAGGACTGAGAGGTAAGAGAGACCACTCCAGCCAGAGGCCTCTCAGGACAGAGGTAAGCCAAGCCTTCCAGCAGGAGACAGGACCCCATGTTGCTCAGGACTTCCGAGCTTCTGTGCCTGCCTGACTGATTCAGCACCCTCCATGGTCACAGAGGTGAACCTTGCTGCCTGGGACTTCTCCAGCAGCCAGGGAAGCTGCCCTGTGGGTGCCACACCTAGTGGTGTCACTGTTCCTGTAACCAGCTCAAAAGGAAAGTCCTAGGAATCAACTTCTCTTACACTTCACTTTTGAAAAATCGAAACTCTGTATCTACCTCTTTTCTTCATACCCAAGAACCAACTCTAGGGAGACAAGGTGACCTGACCATGGTAGCATGCCAGACCACCAAACCCTGAATGGGTTCCTTGAAATCAGGTAATCACCACTCACCTGATGTCCATAGGACGCTGAGAAGCCAGAGACCAAGCATGACGGGATCTTGGGCACGCTAACCCTAGAGGTTCCACAAAATACTCTGGCTTGAGCACTGGGGTAGTTATTCATTCTGAGAGCCCTTCCCAGTGATCAGGACTGGCCAATCGCTGGTCATGGGGGCGGGGTGGGGTGGGGCTGGGCGGGGCAAAAGGTGTACACCTCTGTACCAGCACCCTGCAGGCAGTAACCACCTCCAGAGCAGTCTGGAGTTACAGAGGCTCTTCTCCAGTGGCTTCTGGGTAGCTTTGCATCTTCTACTGTTCTCCCATAATTTGGACCCAATTAAAGAGAGCTAGAGATGGTAAATGGACCAATTTGGGCAACTCCACAATTCTACAAGTTCCCATTCCTGGTGCAGAAACCAAGGCCTAGCCTTCCAGCCCTATCAGAGCTGTGGGGTGCTAATTGGGTGGTCTAGTTGGAGGAAGATGACTTTTTGACGGGGAAGTGACTTGTGAGCCTGAAATTTAAGAAGGTGGGGACCCTATGTCTTCCTGGGCAATGGAAAGGCTGAGCATGATGGGATGGCAAGGATGCCCCTTAGGTAGGGGCAAGGATGGGCAGTGGGGGCCCAGGACTACCCTGTGGGAGCTGACATTTCCCAAAGTCCCTGCCCAGCTCTACCAGGCTTTTTAGGCCTCACTGGGGAGGGAAATGGAGGTAGGAACCAGATAGGTGGGTGTCTAGGCCCAGGTGACCAAGTGACAGCAAGCAAGAAGTCTACCTAGCTTATCCTTTGGGGTCCTATCCTAACCCCATTGTAGGAAGGTCCTGATACACCAGTCTTCTTGTACAGGCCTGAATTCTGTCCTTCATGTCCCAAGGGTAGGGCTGTCTCAGAACCAGAGCTCTCAGCACCCCTACCATGGCCTGGTTCCCAGCTTCTCCAAGTGGATCTATTACTGTGGGAACCCAGGACTGCTGGGGATGTGGTCAAGCCTGTTTATCATTTGTGGCAATGTCTTCTACTGTGACCCAGCCTTGTGGACACAGATGTGGTTAGACCTCACAGGGGTAAGTAACCTAAGGGGTAAGGGGAAACACCCACTCTATCAACAGGGCCTGACATCTCTGAAGGGCAGCCTAAGGAGCCTTGGACCATATCCCAAGGACTGTACCTAAGAATTTAAGCTAGGGCACAAATGATACTGTCACCCCACTGCCCTTGTGAATGAGTTAAGATTAGAAATATAGAAATGGCTTAGGAACCTCACCAGCAACCTGTTACCTAAGGCATCAGCCCACAGTGCTTAAGGCTAGAGCAGACATCAGCTGCAGGAAGCGGCGGGCAGAGCTCTTGGGTAACGATGACTTCCACATACACAGGACCTTTCTACACTGCAAGTTAGGTGACAGTGGAGATTCAAGGCAATAGCGTCCTTAATCAAACCAGAGGGCAAAATCAAAAGCTGTTTGTTGCCAGTATGCACCATTGTCTTGTAAGTCCAACCATCCATAGTCAAGGCAAAGGAACAGGGTATAAAGAAAAGCCAGGACCAGGTGGGGCCAAATTTACCCCGCACTGGCAGAAATGCATTGGAAATGATGGGTAGTCACTCCACCACATAAGACAGACTCACCTCATTGCCAACTTCACCCAGCAGAAGCTCTTGAGGTTTGGAGCCGGGCCCCACGAAAACCTAGGAGTCGCAGATGAACCAACATGGTTCTGGGCTCCTGGAGACAGGCCACTAAGCTCTGCTCAGCCTGGCATTCATTCTGACACTAAGTTGGCTGATGGACATTTACTCAGGCAAGCCCACACATGCTGCAGACCAGAAGAAACTGTGTGGCTGAAAAAACCAAGCACTCCAGGGGGGCTCTCTTAGCTAACCAGTCCTGACTGGGCCATCCACCAGTCTTAACCATCTACACAGGACCAAGAGATCTGCCTCTGGTTCTCACTCCTCCAAACACTTCCTCACTCCTCAAGCTCACCTGGGGCAGATGTTTAAAACTGGATTCTGATAAGGACACCCGTATTTATAGGAAGGGCAGCTTAGCTAGAACAGGCCACCCTAGAGCAGGGAACTATCATATCAAGGACATGTTGTCCAATCCAGGACTAAAACAGCCATTGAGACAAGGCAGCTACAACACCATTTGTTAGCTACTTTGCTGAGTAATTTCCAAAAGGCAAGGCCTGCATCTAATGTATAAAGAGCATCCAGACCCTAGTTGAGGCAGGAGTACTTCTAGCTTGAAATTTAGCCTGTCTCCAAGGATATGCCTCAGAGACCTTGTACACCTTAAGGTTTTTTGTTGAAGAGCTTCAGTCAGGAATATCTTGTCAGGAATAATGCTGCCCCCTAGTGTCCACAAAGGCAGATCCAAAACATGTAGAGAACAGTTCCAACGCCATGCTACACCTCCCCTACATGGCATTTTCTAATTATGTTGCTCCTTTCACAAATGAAATGTGTTTTTACTGCCTGAGGCTAAAAAGCACCTCTCCTCCCACCCCACCCCTTCTCCCCGCCCCCCCCAGACTGGATTTTAAAAGCAAACAGTTAAGTCTAGGGACACCTTACTCTTGTACAAGCAGCTTCCATTTTT